CCTTAACAGTTAAATATTGGTTCAAAAAATAGTCGTCCAGCCATTTTGATTTCTTACAGGAGATAAGTTTGACTCCGCTCCACCATAGAAACGCAAATATCGTTGGATAAACGAACCTAACAAGCATGTTTACCGCGTAATACGAATCGAGAAGCGATACTTTCGTGTTTTTCGATGCTAACCGGACACGCCACTTTCTTCTGCTAATGTAACGACGAATCGTTCCGCTCGATGCTCGAGTGACAAACATATCGGCGAATCACGGATATCGCGTGCAGCGACAGTTCGTTATAACGCGTGTCATTTGAATTTCCGGCTTTTCACCGATTGAAAAAACCGCGGACGAAGACGACGCCACGGGAACGTGAACGTACTCTCGAAATACGTTTGCCATTATTGTCTGTATGATTTTCCACGATTATACCGATTATTCCCGAGCAAGTAAATCGTGACTCTGTTATTAGCCGTTGGTACTATCGGTAATATCGAGCCCGACAGAAACTATTACAGCAGCGTAACGGTTTCAACGTAACTTACGAAATTGTCGAGCATTATGTTTCGTTGAGGAAGCTTTAATTATGGTCCTAAAGAATTCCCTCGTTCGAGAAATTTTATCAAATTACACAGTTTCGAAAGTCGTTAATCTACCCCGTTCGGTAAATCAATCGAAAATATGTTTGCGTTGTAAAACGCGTCGAAGAAAGAAGTTTATGCAACCACTGTTAACTCTTCGTTTCGCGTAACTGCTAGAGTAAAAATCTACGTATATTAGGTAAAATATATCATCGATAATGCAATGAAATACAAAAGTAATTATTGTCGCTACACATCCCTTTAGACCAGACAAAATTTCCCTATATCGTTAGTACTATTCTTTTCCCGATAAGTACTTTTTAATAAATTATTTAGAAAATTATAGGCAAGTACTTTCGTCATTGTTATCCGAATATTATTGGTCTTTATTTTCAGAATTTTCTAGAAATATCGTTTTTATTGCCTTAGAATTATTATACTCGCAATTTTCATCTTTTTCCTCTGAATTATTGTCTTGCGTGGAAATAAACGAAGAGTTAACGTGTACTCTTAAAAAACCTTAACAACAAATTGCATAAAAACACTATCAGTTTGTTGCGTTATCATAACAAGTGCACGAGATTATAAGATATTATTGTCGACACCACGAATCGTCTAAAAAATAAATTATTTCAAAGCGCGCCATTAATCTCTAGCGATTCTCAACACATCTTTTCTAAATATCTGCGATTCGTTTTAGCAAGCTTTTCGTCTATCGCGATTATACTCTCGATTATGATCGCCATACACGTCGCCCTCAACGATATATACATACATACATATATACGCGTATATATAATAATACGATAATATAATTTTATATATTATGTATAACATACGATATACTGTAGTGTAGCAACCCCTTCGTACGTCGTAATACCCATTAAGTTTAACCATTAATATTACGTTAGATTATTTACACATTGTTTATGAGTATCGAAATTTACGTTAATCATAGAACCACTGCTTTCCTATTGAAACCTCTTCGCGTGCTCATTTCCAAAGACTGAAGAAATTAGCGGTTATGACGTGAGAGTGAAACGGAAGTGGTTCCGTGTACGTGGAAAATGAGAACTTGCAAATCAACCCGACTTATGCGAAGCTCGTAGTAAACGGTATTGTCGTAATTATGCTATCTTTACGATTAAATATCTGTATCGATATACGTATGCTCGTACAATTTGATTAGGAAAGACAGAAAAAATGGTATTTACCAAAACCTCAATACGAAAGGGTTAATATGATTAGCTTAGTATAATACAACATGGGCTCGATGCATACGAATATATGCGTATGTGTGTATATTAATTACAACCACGACACGATCGAGAAAATGTATAACATCTAATCTTATTCGTGGTTCAGCGCATTCATTTATATATCGGCCACGTACATATAGTCGTATGTTTACGTATATATCTCATATTATGTATCTATGATTTAATTAGAAAGGTATCGCGTAAATTGACTAATCTCGTGGATTCTCGGGCAACGAAAAGAAGGGCTGCTCGAATAATATAGGTACATATTAATTCAAGTAATTTTATGACTCGACGTCCCACGTGCATAGTAAATCTTCCATCGATCGTTTTTTTTATATAAATTTACACGTTTTTCCGTTTAATTAAAATCCTAATTAAAATTCTCCGAAATTTATTCCGATTTATTATGCCGTCGAAATTGCAATTGCAAAATTGCATGCCATAGAAATCGCTGTTCTACTAATAATATCGTGGATAGTATTGTATAGTATTGTATGTTATCCTGTCAAAATGTGAATATAATTCGAATTGAAGTACACCAATTTAATGTACAGATTATTTCAATAACGAATAAACTAGGTTCTCGTGATTACCGAATTTAATACAGAATTTAGGGAATTTTTGGGGAATTTTTGTTCGATTAGCAATTCTTCGATTTCGATTCAGCAATGATTAGTTAATGTGAATTTTGTAAACGACCGATCGAGGATTGTATGCCACGCGTTATACGTATGTACTTCCGAAACGTACGAATTTTATATACATCTATATCGTTACGACTCGCCCGCGAAATAATGCAATGAATTGGCTATCACCTGATGTCCAACGTGTATATATCATTTGCAATTGGCGATGAAAAATCACCAATAACATTCGTAATATAGTAACGAAATATATATGTACGTTCTGTACGTATATGTGTGTTTGTGTAAATGCCCATGTGTGAATATATGTATGTATAATAATACGAAGTATAAACATCTAGGACAATGTATAATAACGCGACGTGTTCCTAATTCTCGAACTGACGTTCGAACTTTCATGAATATACTTTCATCGAATGCGTACAGTAGAACTCGATGTATCCGAACCGTGACATTATTCTGTAACTCCAGGATCTCGATACTGTGCGCCATTTTAATCATCTCGACCTTATCGATGTTCTCCAAGGAAATTTCCAGCGACACATCGATATTGACATATTCGCGAATTTCTAAACCGCGATAGCAAAACTCTCTAACCTCTTCAAACATAAGGCTACGTTTACAATGCACGTCGTACGAAAATCTACCTAGAATTTCACACCTTAGTCTGGTGGTCAATTTAACAGAAGAGTATGCATGTACTAACAATTCCTGTGATCGAGATTTATCGTATATAAATTGTTACGTTAATCGTTCGTTGTCAGGAATAGACTCTGATATAACACGCGTTTAAGAAAGTATCGTTCGACAGATGCGCTATTCTAAGACCAGAAAGATCACTAGAGAATCGCCATATAAATACTATGTACACATTTTATCTGGGAAATATTATTTTTCGTAACACGATGTACTTCGCGTTGATAGAGTTCGAATTGAATTTTCGTGGAAATAAAGCGACGAGAAAGGATACGTTTGAAGAGGTTATCAGCTTCATGGAAGATCCTTCTGTCGGTGCGCAAGCTAAGATCAGGTCCCAACAAATAGAGCCCTACGGTACTTTGTGCCTTAACGTACTAATACTTTCATCTTATCACTTTCTTACGAATACTTTCATACGTTTCAAAGTTTTGTCAGGATCTGTGTACTTGTGATTACATTTAAACTCGAAAGGCTTAAATAACGTAACCTCGTCTATGATACAACTTGTACCTGAATAAACTGTATTAATGCTCTCCTCGTGTTTCCGAGTAATGCATTAATTATCAGAACCCGCCAGCCCAATGTTAAAATATTGACGTTTCGATAATTAATTCGTTCTAGTTACCGCACGTTCGCTTATCATCGAGGACCGGGTTGTACTATTTCAAATTGCGCGCCATAACAATGGCGCGCGTACCTCTCTTCGTCTCTTACTCTCGACGACCAGTATTATACTTTCGATATTGGTTTCTTTTTTTTATTGCTATGTTTTTAAAGTTTCCCATCGTTGAATTATCTGCTATCAGCGCCGAAACAAAGAGTATTATATAGAAAATACCTAAAAGTCTCAGCGATCGTGCTGAACTGATCTTTCTCCGCCATTGCTTCGCCAAACCTCCTATTATTATTGTCTTCGATTATTAAATTATTGTCTAAGAAGGTTTGGCAGTTATTTATTGTTTGCATGTGTGCTCGTACGAATGGCTTTTGCGGTTCTATTATAGAAGTCTGTAAATAAATAGCACTAGCTCGAATCTCTCGTTCGATCATCGATCATCGTGATCTTTCATAATCTCTTCTAAATTAGGCCTCTAAAATTGTATATATTTCTTTCAGCTCAACTTTCCATTCTTGAGATATTCATTCTCGATTCACTTCTTGCGAATGTTTCACTGATGGTTCGTTAACGTTGTAAATTCGTTTCTTCATTTTCTTTCTATTTTTCTTTTTAGCGTTTTCCTAAAAAGAGCTTCCAATATTATTATACGTGCTTCTTTTGTGGTTTTAATTTTTTTACAAATATGTTTAGCCCCTTTTCGCGGTTGAGTATCTTCCGACACGTTGATTTGTGTCAACTTACAGCACCATACCCTGCACTCTTAGGTATTGCAAGAAATAAGCATTTGCTTCTACTGTAATTCAGAATATAAAGCTGGCACAATATCGTGCTAATGCCAGATACTTGAAGACAAATTACAGAATTACGCTATACTCTTTCAATACGCCTCTGGTACTTCAATGTCTCCATACTTATTTACTTTTACTTTCATTATCACCTTTATCTAACAGGATTTACATCGCCTCCTTTAATAAATATTCTATCTTCTCATTGAACGAATATTTAAAGTCAATATCACATATCTTATAAAAAGAAATAATTAAATCCTCGTAAACTTGAAATGATCAAAATATTCTTTTCCCAAAGATTAAATCAAATTCAATAAACAACAGTGCAAATGCTTTTATCAAAATCTATGCCATTTTACAACGATGGTAATAAAAATGGTAAAAAGGTTGGACATTGAAGTACCAGGTACAGCTGGAAAATAAACGCAATTAAATGATCAGTCAACTGAAACAGATTTCCTTACATCCATGCAATTTGTTCAGGGATCGATGAATTTAGTTTCACTGTTGATGCTGTTGCGTTATGTCGTATGTGTAGTCATTCATTGCTGGTGGTTGCACCAGACTCGCGTTTACGTCGGCGACGAAGGGATTCGTCGAATGGAAGGGATTGTTGCTATGGGTTTCCGTCGATCCATAACTTATCACTGGTGGTTTCTCTTGTTGAGCATACATATTGTCTGAAGCTGGTTGATCGTAGGTATTCCATTCCTCGGTTGCTCCACCGCCCATGCTTGGTTGTTTCTATGGATGAAAGACATTATTTTACAAACTCAAACTATCATATTAAAACACAGAGTCGTAATACGTGCAGAAAAATATTGGAAGATTATTAAATTCACATGAAATTAACGTACTACTACAGGACCACAAAAATGACTGATAATTGTAGACTACGAGAGAAAATTAATACACGTCCATTTCTAGAGAGATGATGAAGGTATTAACGATAGTAAATTGAATAAAATACACGATTTATCAGGGGAAAAATAATTAATCCTGATTAATAGGACACGTACTATAAATTCGGACTGCATAGTCTTCGGTTGTGGCGGGATAGGTGGTTTCCCTTGACCAAATTCATCCATAGCAAAGGTCTTCTGTTCGTCTAAAGCAGGATCAGCCCATGGTTGCAGCTCTCCGGAACAAAAGATCGCGTAAAACGTGACACCGAAAATGTGCACGCATGCTGCTATAATAAACACGTTTCGCCAACTATGAGCATCCTGTAAAACACACGAGACAATTTTCAATCCTTTCATATTTTGGAAAAAGGAACCACATCTTTATTCCATGTAATTATGTAACATTGAACCAGAAAGGCATTTGTCTAATTCCAAAATGAAGCTAACACGTATAAAAGGCAGTCGAAATAAGGAAACACAAAGGATGAAGACTATATTTCTTAGACATTTGTTACCACTTGATAAAATTTATCGGTATAAGAATTTGTTCTTTACGAAGAATACCTTCTTTGCCGTGATGTTGTCTACGAAGAAGGGCACCAGCAGTCCCGCTATCGTACCAATTCCATTCGACATTCCCATCAAGATACTGGCGTATCTAGGTGCGATATCCAGGTGATTTACGTTGAAACCGGAAATAGCAAAGCCACTGCACGCGACACCACACGCTAAAGCGACGATCGCCGCTGTTCCATTCCTGTGTGTCGTCGCGTTAGCCACCACCAAGAAGAACAGAGCCTCCATACCGAAACCACCACAGTTGAAGAGCTTCCTGACATTCGTCGTTGACAATATTCCACGTTTACGAATGTGATCGGCCAGCAGTCCTCCGCAGGGCACGATCATCGTCATCAAGAAATGTGGAAGTGAGCCAATGATACCAGCCTGCGACAATCACGAGAACAAAATTCCCGATTATTCTCGTTCTTCATCTTCCAACGAATCTCTAAATTTCACGTAGATAGGTATTTAATCTTCCTAGCAATGAAATCGAATTTTCCCAGGTTCTATAAACATCTTTGCTCCCATCTTTGTGCTCGTTTTCACAAGCAGATTCAAATCTATGTAATCCTCCTAAAACAAAATTTATGGGAGACTCACTTCGACCAGAGCCATGTTGAAAGACTCCTGCATGAAACGAGCTTGGTAAAGCACCAGCAGGTAGAAATTCCAGGACCTGCAGAAATTCGCCACGATGATCGCGTGAACCGGCATGGATGTCAAGAATTTACGCCATGGCGTTGTGGCGAATGTCGGTATGAACATCTGTGCTTGACCCTGGCCAAGGGAGTCTTCGATGTAACGCAGCTCGCGAGCCGAAATGCAAGGATGTTTCGATGGCTTCTCGAAGGCTAGCCACAACCAGAAACAGTACCAAACCAACCCGCACATACCTGAAAGTCCATATTGCGTTTAATTATTTCTGCAAACTAACAGGAAAATTTTCCAAATTATCGTAACACAAAATCCTGTCATACCATAGAAGTAGAAGGACGCTGCCCAGCCAAAGATCGAAGTCAGACATCCCGAGAGCGGCGTTCCTATCACCATGGCAGCATAAGACCCGCAGAATGCCAATGTCGCTAAACGCGATCTCTCCAATGGTGGTGCCCAATACTTCCAAATACCGTGGCACGCTGGATACGTGACACCCTGGTCGAGATAAAGATTATTCCTCCAGACAATCCGGGAAAGTAGCGACGGTAATATCTCAATGCATGGTTGCGATAAAGGTTAGCTCACCTCTACCAATCCCTTCAGGACCTGCACAACCATATCGACGATGGGGTCGACTTTCAATGCACCAGGTACCAGCAAGTTTAAGAACGAAGATATGGCGATCGCGGCACCGAATATCTTGTTCGCGGGATACAGGGAAGCAAGGAATCCTCCTGGTACCTGGGTTACCAGGTAGCCCCAGAAGAAAGACGAGTCCAGGGCGCTCTCTACGCCAACTGTCCAGTTGAACATGAGAGTATGGTTGTCATTGTCTTCGGTGGTATTCTTTATAGCCATTTTCGCCATGCCCATGTTACACCTCATGCCGAATGAGATTATGAATCCTGAAAGAAGACATGTCTGTTAAATTCGCAACGTGACGATCCATGTGATTCATGGATGATCCAATCATAGAGGTAAAGCATGATCCATACTTCTTCCTTTTGAAAAGAAAATATTAATATATTAGAGATAACGTGTAGGGTAAAATGACGAGAAAATGTGTTTAAAAATTCACCTATACAGGCCAACGTGGCAATGGTATATCTCTTCGATAAGCAGGGACATTCTGGCTTGCAGTAAGTGTCAATGTGACGCAATGGGGGCCGTTCAGGTTCCGGGAGAGATTCGAACGAGGCTTGTCTACTGTATCCTGTCTCATCCTCGAACCCCTTATTGTCTTTGCTACCCTCCCTGGGCATCTCAAATTCCTCGTAGCCGGCATTGCTTCTTCTGAATCTGCAATCAAGAATCCGATCCAATTTACGAGTGTCCTTTTATTCCCAACGGAGGACTGTCATTATCTGTCATTATTTGATATTGTCTTTTCACGGACTTTTCATATACGAATCTCTTCGCGAAGCAATCGACTCGCGGACATTTTGGTTCCAGTCTTATAGACTGATTCGGCAGTTCGATCTTGACAAACGATTACGTAAGGAAGAGCAATTAGAGACTCGCGTAGAACATGTGCATTTAATTACGCGCATGATCAGATATAGCGAAGTATCGGCTAAATATAGCCTTAAACGATTTTTCGTCTGTTCCGCGGCATATACGAGCATGCGTGACATTACCCAGCAAATTTTTCCGACGCTTTGGACTTGATGGAGTCGAAGGCCACGAGGCTCGCCGTCGCGAATCTGGACATTTTCCAATTATTGGGGTTGCTCTCGGGCTGCAAATGATAGCGTTGGCAATTGGCAGCCCCTGAAGCATAGAATACATCATAACTTTACTTCTCTTACATAAAAATATATCAAGTATTATACTCGTGCGAATTTTTAATTTCAAAGTGACAGTAAAAACCGTACGCAGTTCGGTTTTTCTAGAATTTTCATTCACATGTCTGTACAGCTATCTCAATAAACAGTGAAAGACTTTTTATACTATTTGTCCAATTCGACGATTCTTCGATGACCGATTATAAAGCTACGAAATGGAAAAGAGCTGTCATTTAATTTTATCAGAATTCCCAATATTTTGTAACAGCTATATGGACTATTCTGGATCAAATTTGTTACCTAGACACAACTATAAAGCGAAGAAATAATTGTCGAAGAGATTGAAGGATATTTGAACACTCGATAAATAATACTTAACGCTAATCATTCACTAATTTCCTATTTACCGAATATACGATGAAATGGGTGAAATGTATTCGAGAAAAACATATTTTTCTCAATTTTATTAAGGTTCTGCTATTCTCCACGAACAACCGTTCGGTTTCCAAACAATTTCATCGGTCGAACGCTTAAATCCATCGCATTTTCTCCTTCGAACGCCTGTGTAGAAACGTTCGTTCTCGATATCGAGGGAGCCCCGGAGTAGGGGTGTTTGTTTGGAGTGGCAGTCTCTCCAACCCTAATCCCCGAACTCTCCGGGGAACGTCTTCAGGGGTAGAAAAATGCGAGGAGAAACGGGCTCTTCCCGGCTCGTATTTTTCGCTTAAGCTTTTCCAGCAAACATCGCGTGATATATAACTGCGATAAAGCATTCGAAAAGCTGACACAAAATTTCATACCTGTATATCTCACAGTGATAAGGACCTCGACTATCCAACAGGGAGTGACAGAATAAACAAAGATAAAGCCTAACCGAGAAATGAATTACAGAAGAAATATCTCATTGCTTTATATAAATTTCGTTACGTTTCTCCTTTCCAGAATACGAAAATAATATTTTTACGATTTAATAGCGAAGTATCAAAAAAGGAAGGAGTCTGCTCAACCCATTAAACGTTGAAAGAATTTACAAAACGTTTTACTTTAAGCAAAATATAATATCCCAGCCAATACTAATAACCAAAAATTTCGAATCACCAGGTATGTATAAGAAAATAAAAATTTGAAAAATCAGAAGCTAATAATTTCATAATTTCATTGAATCGAAGAATGTTTCATAGCTGAAAGTCCTTGGTGGAAAGCAAAGTGTAATTAAAATTCGGAAAATTAACTCGAAAATTGTAGAGGTGTGACAGAGAATTGGTACAATTTGCCTTTCATACTGTGATATGTTATAACAAAACCTAGTATGGCGTATTTAGATGCTTGTTCCTTTGTCGTGAGATCACCGTGCAATATTTCAATCAAACGACTGCTATAAAAGAGGCGCCTTTAGCAAGGCAAAAAATTGTTGGCACACTATCGACTCGATCACAAAGAGACGTATAGCGGGACAATGGCTGACGGATATTAAAACGGCACGTGACAGACAAAAGGCAGAAAATGCACAGCACGTGTGTTAACGAGCTAGGGTGGAACGACAAAGATGGAAACGAACGATTTCGTTTAATGGATTCATGCACATTCTTATGGGGATGCATTTCCCTCTGATCCTTAACAGGACGTGCCAATATTTTGTCCTTTTCCAGGCACTCGTCGTCAAGTGTATAAGACTGCTTCGAATATCGATTTTTCGAAAATGATTACTTCTAAAACCGATTCGTGTTCCTTCTTAAATTGAAAAATGGTATAAAATTTTGAATACATTTTCATCAGCGCTATGTCAAACTATAGTTAAGGACGAAATATTTCTTTAAAAGCAGAATGCAAGAATTTTCAACTCTAAAAATTGAAAGAAATTCCTATGAAAAATTGATTCTCATTTACATTTTTCAAAAATCTGCAGTGAACAATTGGAACTCGATAATAAACGCAAACAGATATTATAGATTATTTAAAGCTAAAATTTTGAACGAGATAATTGACATCCCTTAGAAAATATTCCTCATGAATGAAATGTTTCCTTATATCGAGTTCCTGTAGAAAATCAAAGAGCAGAGATTGAGCGGGGAAAAGGTGGAGAAAGTAGGGTGTCGAACGAAAAGAATCCAGAGCCTGATGCACTTGGCTAGCAGATCGATACGAAAAAGTGGCAGATATTTTTCTGATCCCTGACATTTCCACGATGCGACCTTGCACAGATCTGCCTGTCCATATCCTTGCAAAGACACGATTCACCCAATCGATCCTTCCAAATCGTCCATTTGTACACTTTCACTCACACCTCCACCGGAACTCCACCAGATCAGAGTCCACTTGGAACCACTACGTTCATCGTAGATCGAATCCCGATACCGATCGAATGCACCGGGAGACCGGAAGATCGTCTCTACCTGACGGTGACTCGACAAAGATTCTCAAAGCTCTATCGAACAGACCCTCTAAACGATCTTACCGATTTGCTGACAGAAACACCTCACTGTTCACACTCTGTCTACATCACAACGCTGACTCTTCGATAATTCGCTGATTCCCCCGCGTTTCTAGCCGACTCTCGTTACGATGGACACCAAATCCTCGCACCACCCCATGATGACCGCTGATCCTCCGTAAGCAACGAAGCAGCCTCGCGTGGCACGAAATTGGAAAACCGTGGACAACGGAAGGAAGGATGATTTTTGCGATGAGAAATAACAAATGAACCACCACTCACCAATAATTAAGTCCAGATATGGTTACGAGCGGTGTGGGTAGCGGTAGCGCGCGGGGTACGCGACGGAGAACGTCGTCGACGTCGCCTGATGTCGTCGTCGTCGTTGACGGCGTCCACGGCAGCGCGGGGTACCGCGAAGTCAGCTCCTGGTCACGGCGTCCGCGCAAGCCGGCGTCGCGGCGCCATTGGCCGACGCACGGCGACGCATCGATATCACTGGCCAATCACGGTCGCCAGCAAACCCCTTTAGATCGACCCCAGGCGGGGCTTTGTACCCCGGCGAGCAGTTTTGCAACAACAAAACGTTACGCAGGAACAGGAATCGTAACGGTATTAACGTTAATGTCCGCGTATCTTCGTTCACGAGCCCCGATCCCTGGGGCTTACTTATGCCAGGGGTCTGTAATTCGGCACCCTGATGCGTACTGGGTTAAAAAGGGTGCTTTCTGAGGGTGAGTCGAGGGTGTTGAAAAATATGAACCGCGAGGAATTGTTGCGGTGACATAGCATGGCGTCGAGGTAAGCGCTGCGTGGTTTCCTCGAACCTTTTCGAGGGTTGCTTTTTAATCCTTGGAGAACGTGCAGGGTGAGAATTTATTTTCATTTGCGAGATGGATCGGGTGTTGATTATACTACGTAAATACGTAGATGTGTAATATATGGAGATAATCTCAATGATAATGAAATACTCGTCGGAGTCTATGATAATTAGTCGCGAGCAATCCCGATACTTCATATATATATGGAATTTATAGAAATTTCATTTATATCGTCTATTATTTATTTTTATGCTCTTTGCGGAGATATATAAGGAGACTGAGACTAGCAAATTGTACTTGCATTGGTATTAAAAAGGCGAGAGAAGATGTGGATGCCAGGATGACGTTTTTGGCACTGGGATTGGTGTTTCTGATAGAATTTTTGGGTCACTATAGCGATTTCTTTCGTGATTGATAAATTTATCGGTAACAGTTGTATATACGTATGCATTATAGAAACGAATGTCTTAATTTCCTTTATTTCTTTCTGCAACAGGATTTTAATACTGAACGTACCAAGCAGTTTTCAAAATTTACTTTATAATTGTACATTTATTGTTATTTCCTTCGCTCATCTGACTTTCTGTAAATTCTTTTATTATCTGATTGTTTAATTTCTCGCTTCCCGTTTTTCTCTTAACTTATTTTTTAGCGAGGAAAATTCTTTGCATATCTTATGTACCACGAGGGGTCATTTGAGAGTTTATGGTAAGAATGGGTATGTGTAAAGTACCAATAATTTTAGTGTCAAATCCTAATTAAATTCTGGAAGATGACGACTTGTGATATTTCCAATTTTGTTGCCAATTTCGCAGATTTTTATATTATTATACTTTATTTTTATTTTTCGTTTGTTATCCTTCTCAGTCATCAAATTTGGAGAAGATACAAATTTCAATATCCTAATTATTAGTCTATGTCCTCATGAAAAACGTACTTCCTGCCGAAAAATACCGGAGCCACGAGTTCTGGCAGCATAAATTTGTATCAAAAGTTTAAGACGTAAATTTTGGGCAAGTAACATTCGACCATTTAGGTTACTCGTGAACTATGGTCGGTATAAAACTGTCTGATTCCACTGTACACTGTTCCTCGTTCAGTAGTACACAGCAAGTCCTTCATTTTCACCGCAGTAGACCATGCTGTTCGGTTAACGACACTAGTTTCCTCTTACATTTATTTCCACGCACATCGATATTGGATTCATACTGTGACAGACTAATTTTAATAAAGAAGAATTATCCTTCTGTGCCAACGATCCACGTTTATCTCGTACGATATCCTCTTGTTCGGATAACAATACCTGTACACGTGGTTTGTTAAATTTTAGCTCATTCCTCGGGAATAACATATCGAATAATAAATTGGAACAATCTAATTTACAAATCGAGACGAATCCTGTGATTTAAAAAATACTCGAATGAAATTCTACGAGCTTAAATATGTTATTTAAATTTAATCGAGCAAACTGAAATACGAGATTCGTTTAAATTCTACAGATCTGGTACATCGCTAATTTAATTTTCATATAGCTCGTTTTGCATACAATTTTCTATATTTCATTCTGAAATTTCGTATATTCGTAAGTACTACTTGTACCAATTTCAAATATATCGATACACCCATAGCCAATCGTGAGTGTCCACTTTAATCGATTCAACTTCTCGTGCCCTTC